GAACAAATCTAAATTAACATATAAAAATATATTTTTACTGAGATTTGATGTAGTGACAATTTTGCATCGTGATTAGGTAATGACATCATCACGCAATGACATCACAACGTCATTTAGCAACTTTTAGCAACAAATCGACCTTCCTTTAGCATCTTCCCCTGAAAATTAGTTGGCAACAGTGGTCGGCTGAAATTGGTCCTCGTTGGCTTTTTTTCGGCCGATTCGACATGTTGAATCGGCGTCGGAGCTTGTCGGTCAGTCGGGCCATCTGATCATTCTGATTGGCTGTTCAGCTGGCGAACCAGTGCACGAGAAAAAACGCAGAACGGACGTGCTACTTGGCTGTCGGTTGTCGAGCGTCGGCTTGGTGTGATGCTGCCGATGTGAGCCGACCCCGCAGTCAAATGCCCTGTATGAGGCTGCTATGAACCCACGATGTGCATTATTTTTTTTTACCAACACAAGCTCCACAGCAGACTCAAAGCAGCATCACTAGACTTTGAGAATACAAAATTTCTATGGACACTGCAACAGTTGTAATATGGCGTCACACTCTGCGGAAACTTTAAAAAACAATTAGACATATATTACAACTAAAATGTAAAAATTTACAGCAAAATGTTAAAAATTACAGCTAAATTTCACTGTTAGATGGTTTGTCTAAAAACATGCATGGATATAATGATGCGTGGAAAATAATTTTTTTTTTCTTTTTTTTTTTTTGGATGGTTCATCTGGTTAAAGATTTAATGCACTAGCACTGCTGTAGTTTATATAAGAACACTCTCCAACAGCAGAATTAGGGGTGGGCGATATACTAGACTATCGTCTCTATCGCGGTTACACGCTCATGAAATCTTATCATTTACATGCATTTTTAAGCATTGCAGTTTACACACAAGTTATTTTAAGCCATTGAAAAGCAATCAGCAGCGAAACCGACCTCATTTCAATATATGCGCATGCTGTCTGCTGTTTACGAGCGCTCTTAGAGCACGGGAGTATTGAACGCTTTATAGGCCTTGAACGGTTAAATACACACACTTGCATGTGTCAAAATGCCTGTCTTTGCAAGTATCCTTGTAAATACGGTAATATAGGTCTTAAGTAAAAGCAAACAGCTGAGAAAGAAAACACGTATTGGATCCAAGCAGATCTTAAAATGACAGCTAAATCACTTTTTAACTGTAATAGGAAGTAATATATTTAATTTACACAGTGAAGAATATGCCGTTTTTATACATTTGATTACTTTATACAATGTATGTAGCATTTCTTATTTGTTCTACTGTAGTTTTTTTTAGTCCTATTGTAATTTCTTATTTTTATTTAATCGCTGACTGTTTACTCATTTTCAGTTAGCTTTTTTTTATATATTTAGGCTATTATTTGTTTTTTGTGATATTGACACAATGTATGAGTATACCAACACAAAACAAATAACCACCAATATGTTTAAGAAAGAAAGAAAAAGCATGTGTTTGAACTCTATAGGAACGAGAGGCAGAGTATGAAGCTGAGCAGATACAAATCAAGAAAGACAAAGAGAAGGAAGTGGCGCGACTGAGAGTTCTTCAAGAAAGGGACAGAGACCATAAAGCTGAGCAGGTAAAATCTTACATCCTCATAAAAAATTTACTAATACATATAATTAGAAGTATCCTCTTGTATACCCATGATGGTGTAATACATTAACATGACCAATTTAATAAAGCATAAAGCTTATTTGTTGGCTGATCATGTTGGAGGCAGTGAAATTTACATTCTGGATTCAAATAAATGAGTTTTTCTTTGAACTGTCAGGATGAGATCAGGGCACGGAGGAACCAAGAAGCAGCTGCAAGGGAATGGAGAAGAAAAGAAAAAGAGCAGACTCTGAGAAAGCTGGAAGTAGAAGAGAAGCTGAAGGCTGCTCGTTTGGAGCAAGTCACTCACAAGGAGCACTTGCTGTCCATTGAAGCTGGACGAGAGAGAGCAGAGTTTGAGAGGGTCCTGAGGTACAAACACCACACTATTAGCATGGCCGTACACAGGGTTTTAGAAACACTGAGGTCCTCAGCTTGCTAGGGTGGTTCATGGGCACACAGGGGCATTGAAATTTTTGATTCACATGATCTACATGTGTGCATTTCATTTTTGTCTGTGTCAGTAACAAACAGTAAACACATGGTCATGAATGAAATATAGCATTTGGGGTTGGAATGAAAACAAATGTTAAAAGGTAAATGATAATAGAATGAAAACAGCATTTTTAGGTCATCCCTTCAAATTTTGTGCAGAGACCAGCCATTGACATATGTCATGCACAAAAGCTGCACTTGGGGGTTTCTTGTCAAAAAGAGTAAAATAAAGGAAACGGGTATTAGACTAATAAAGGAAAAAGGTTAAGAAATACAATATATTAAAACATTTGATCCATTTGCAGAAAATATTTTTATTTTAATTATCTAAATTACTGTACTAATCACAACCTAGAAACAACTGTCAAAGCTACATGTTTTATCATGTTCTAGTGTAGGTCTGAGTATAAAGAGTGAAATTACTGAAAGTCTATCAGGAAACTTCAGCAAAGATAGCATAAAATTTCACAATACAATCATTCTTAATCTTTTGCCTAGTATGCTGAAAACGGTTGAGTTGTTCGTATCCCTGGATATTACTGTTGGTTGTTTAACATTTCTGTTGTAACACAGTTGTCGAATATTAAATATTTAATGTTATTATGTTAGGTCATGCCTCCACACTAGATACAAAAGATCCAGCCCCAGACGCCTGATTTTTTTTTTTTTTAAGTCAGCAAAGTTGTCTAATTCCCAAAACCATTAACAGGATGTCTTGTCTGCATCATTAGATCTCTCAGTAAATAATAAATGTTTAACTTGCTTACATCTCACTTTTTAACAAACTTGTACAGTGTGTAACTAATAAGCATAACAAAAACCAGTGAGTCAACCTTAAAATTAAACAATTACCTCTATAATCTACAAACAAAAATAAATGTACTTTAATTACCGATATAACATTTTACCTTGGATTAATCACTTAAAATTAATTACCTTAACTAAAAAAGAGAGGACAAAGATAGCATTGAAGATTGTATGCTCTATACTGTTTTTCCAGGGCACAGCAGGAGCTCATTGAGAAAGAACGAGAAAAAGAGGAGCAACAGCATCGAAAAATCCAAAGGCATGCTGAGGCTGTGAGGCAGCAGGTACGGGAGAGAGAGATGCAGGCCGTCACCCAGCACAGAGAGCTGTTCCAAGAGGGCGAGCGGCTGGAAGAAGAGGCACGCAATCGCAGAGCCCGGTTGGATGAGATTAAAGAAAAGAAGCTGAGGGAACTCAAGTATGTCCTTAAAGTAAATTAGACAAAAAAAAGTCTATAGAAAATTACATAAAAGACAGTATAAAAAAAACTTATAATTAACGAAAGAAAGAATTATTGATTACATACAGGAGAGAAGACACAGTGGCCTAAGAAGTGTTTAGACCACTGATCTATATATAATGACTGGATCGCTCATTGCGTTCTAAACTGCCGACAGACAGTGAAGCCACCGGAAGTGTTAGAGTCAGAACAGCCGGCATTGTAGTCTACTCTCCCAGGATCAGGAAACAGTCCTCCCGTGTCCGTCTGATGTTTATCATGTTCATCTGATGTTCGCTACTGTAATGAACGTAACTTTTTAATAAGCAGGGGAAATTCCCGACATTAAAAAAATAACTGTTCACGCTTAGGGTGTTTGCATTGTAAGAATGTACAGGGATACTTCAGATTTAAAAACGCTGACTTGTTAGGTGATGTTTTCTCATTAAATTCGCACATTTTCCTATTAATTCAATGGAATATATGGGAATACTGGGGAATACCAATATGGTGGCACGGCGTCATGAGCAATCCAGTTCTCTATTATAGATCAGTGGTTTAGACACGACATATTTTAAAATATATGAATTTCATTGCATTAGCTACAAGAATTGTCATTGCATTCAGGGCTGTTGGTAATGGGCTTGCAAGTAAGAACAATTCTAATGGCCAAAATATCTTGTGTCATAATATTTGAAACTGCTTTGTGTGAAGAAATTACTTTTAGTATTTCAATCTGTGGTCCCCTACATGCTTCCTAAGTGGGTAAACAGAGAGAAATCCGCTTGCTGTACAAAAACAGTAAGGGAAGTGTGTTTGCACAATATTTCTGCCAGTTGAGGCTTTTTATGTAATTGCAAAGACATTCATACTGTAGGAATGTATGATAGGGGTCATGTTAAAGAGAAACTCACTTTCTCTCACAAAAGTTTCTTGTATAGTTGAATCATGTGCTGCAGACTCATATCCTTCTTAGTTCCCAGAGAGAGATTTTGTTGAGGTCATGCAACGGTCACATCAATCTTAAAATCATTAACACAATCACTTTTTTGCTTTTGACTGCAGGGCAGCTGGGCTCTCAGACAAGTACTACAAGGAAGTGGAGCGTAAGGTTCGAGCCCTTCCAGCTCTATTAAACTGAAGAATGGTAGAAATGGAAGAGATCAATCAAATAAACAAACGAAGAAATACATTTGTTGTTTGGCTCAACATATGAACTCCCCAGTGCATGTTTTGCCAGCGGATTTGTGGAAAAGATTACATCACTTATGGAAAGGGTAAACAAAATACACGTCAAGGCATGTGTGGTTTGTGGTCTTTGGCTGACTCAATATACTGTAACTCCAAGTATGTTAAAAGTGCACTGCTAAATCTTCTGACAAGAATGTAGGACAAAGCAAAACATACTATGTAATTTTTATTGAAACTTGTATGGAATGAATTTAAATTAATCTGTAATCACATATAATATTCAGTGGCCTTAAATACTATGTACTTACGTTTAAATTAATTATTTGGTACAATGCACTTATTGTGTACAAATACATGTTTTACATTGAACTTGTATTTTAAAAAAATATCTGCATGTAATTACATTTATAATTACACTGTTGACCCATCCCTTACACCTAACCTTACCTGTATCCCACCTCAATGGCAGCAAGTGTTTTACATTTACATTTACATTTAGTCATTTAGCAGACGCTTTTATCCAAAGCGACTTACAAATGAGGACAATAAAAGCAGTCAAAACTAACAAAAGAGCAACAATATATAAGTGCAAATGACAAGTCTCGGTTAGCCTAACGCAGTACACGTAGCAAGGTATATATATACACATACACACACATATATATATATATACATCTATTATACACACACACACAAACAAACAAAAAATCTATTCTCTTTTCTAGAATAGAAAAAAATGGAAAGCTAGTGTTTGTTTTTTGTTGTTTTTTTTTAAATAAAGAATATGGACAGAACAAGAGCTTGAACAAGGAGTTGTGTTGCATGTTCTGAAAGAAAGGGCCTGATCTTCCTAATGTTGTATAAAGCAAATCTGCAGGACCGGGCAGTTTTAGCAATGTGGTCTGAGAAATTCAGCTTATCATCAATTATAACTCCAAGGTTTCTAGCTGTTCTTGAAGGAGTTATGGTTGAATTTCCAATCATTAGAGATAAGCAGACCAGTACCTCCACCTCTTCCAGTCAGACGGGGGGAGTGGGAAAAAGAGAAATTATTTGAGAGTGCTGCAGGTGTAGCATTGTCCTCTGGTTTGATCCACTTCTCTGTCAGGGCCATGAGGTTTAGTCTTGAATGACTTGTAATAGAAGTAATAAAATCTGCTTTGTTTACAGCAAATATGTTTTATAACTTGTTTTACAATACAATATGAACACAATAGGTACATTGTACTTTTTTTTTTTTTTTGATGTAAGTGCATAGTAGTTAAGGCCACTTAATATAAAGTGGGACCGTTGCAAATGTGTATTTGTGTGTGTGCGTGTTCCCTTTTTGCACTTACCTTTATAAAACCTGCTGTCTCTTCTTTAAACCCTGCAGACAGTCACATCTACCTACTATTAAGCATTTTATACCCTATGCAACTTATTTAACTTTATATGAAATGCATGACAAAAAATGTGTACATCACAACAAAACAATGTGAACTATTCCCTTTATATGTTAATTTGAGCTCTCCCTTCATATCTAGCTTTAAATTAAATTGCGAATACCCTGGGTCATATTACCATAAACAATAAAATTACATGAAGTGAACATTGGATGTACCCTTCACTAACAGACTTGTGGAAGGGTCCTTTGTGGAAAGATTCAGATGTTCATTTTCTTTTGTAATGCTCCTACAAAGTGCCCTTCAAGGGTGCAAAACTGGCATTAGATTTTGCCCTGGGTCAAACAGTGACACTCTGCAGCTAGTTGCAACAAAGATTTTTTATTTATTTATTTTTAACTTTTAACTAAGGGATTTGGTAGTCACAACAATACACATATGTTTGGCTTAACAGGTGATTACATGATTTTGTGTTGTTATTGAACACTACTTTTCCACTTAACATAACTACTTAGAACAAAAGCTTATAGAAAACCCTAAGGCTAACATATTCATATTAAAAGCCAAAAAACTTCCATTTTGATTTCATATGGACTTCAAGTTAAAACCATCGCTTCACTCTGGTAAACTCTATACAGTGGTAAAAATCTGCTCATCAGCGAAGACTCGAGAAATTTGATCTCTCCGTCCCCTAAAATCTTTTAGCCAACTTATGAAATTGCTCTATTGACAACATCCTGACTAGGCGCTTGACTGTCTGGTTTGGCAGCTGCAAGGTCCTGTAAGAAAAGCTGAGCCCAATATTGGCAATAAACTTGAAGCCTTACAAGATAACTTCCACATGCAATGTCTGAAAAAATCTTGTATAGATCAATGCTGACTAATCTCATAGCAGAGACTGTTTCCCAAACTGCCATCAAGCATGTTACTGCATCATTAAATTGGAACCAGCATGATGAACAAAAGCTTTTAACCGCAGGATTTTGAATAAACGTATAATTTTGAATAACCTGTAATTACATTCCCTCACTTATGCTGCCACTATGCCCACACACTGGTCATCTTATTGTCTTAATGACAGAACTAGGACACTCACTGTCATGGATTTTTTTTCACACTTCTAATGCTGCAAACCCTGGACTAACCTGCTGTGTCACCAGAATAAATCAGAAAAGAACACACTTATCTTAATACGTTCATCAATTTACTGAAGCACTCCCAACAAAACATTTCTCCTTCCCTTACATGTATGCATGACAATTCAACTCCCCTAGTGGTACTTATTAACCAACAGACTTTATCATTGAACACAACATAACCCTGTCTTGTCCTGTCTCCAAATGGAACAATTCACCCAAAAATGAAAATGTGCTGAAAACAGTGGCGGTTCGTGGGTTTTAAAATAGAGGAGGCACACTAATTGTATTGGTCTGGGATCCCTGCCGATTATTATATTATTTGCTTAACCACTTTAAAATGGCTTTTTT